CTATCCAATAGTCACACCTGTTCTTCCCCCAAATGAGCACTCAGATAAAACTCTCTTTCATGGACTTACATTAAAGATGAACATACTAAGTAGCTTTAAGAGAGACTTTCAAATCTGGAAATAGAGAGGACTTTCATGTTTCTGGAAGTGAACCCTCATACTTCTTTGGAGATTGCTGATCTGTCCCCACTAGATATGACATCAGTAGATATCCTGGTTTTGAAATATATCACGTTGTACCAATGGTCAGGCATTTCCAAGTAATACTTTGTTGAAGTACACACATGGGTTTTTCTACAAAATCTTTTTCTCCCTCCCCCTTTCAGATTACATGGGTTGATGTCAACATACTATCTCAGGGATCGGCAACCTTTGGCACGCGGCTCGCCAGCGTAAGCACCCTGGCGGGCCGGGACGGTTTGTTTACCTGCCCCGTCCGCCGGTTTGGCTGATCGCAGCTCCCACTGGCTGCAGTTCGCCATCCCAGGCCAATGGGGGTGGCGGGAAGTGGCGGCCAGAACATCCCTCGGCCCGCACCGCTTCCCGCCGCCCCCATTGGCCTGAAGAGGCGAACCACGGCCAGTGGGAGCTGCAATCGGCCAAACTTGCGGATGCAGAAGGTAAACAAACTGGTTCGGCCAGCCAGGGTGCTTACCCTGGCAAGCTGCGTGCCAAAGGTTGCCAATCCCTGTACTATATCCTATTTTTGCTATGATGTTTGCCCCACCTCCAATCCTGGTTCACTTGTCTCATACATACATTATGGATAGGGCCCTACCAAGTTCACAGCCATGAAAAACATGTCACGAACTATGAAATCTGGCCCTCCCCTCCCCCCCCAGCCAGCCACAGTCTTTTCTGTGCTTTTACTCTATACTATACAGATTTCACAGACGAGACCAGAGTTTCTCAAATTGGGGGTCCTGACACAAAAGGGATTTGCAGGGGGGTCACAAGGGTTATTTTAGGGGGGATGGTGGTATTGACAACCTTACTTCTACACTGCCTTCAGAGCTGGGTGGCTGGAGAGTGGCGGCTGTTGGCCAAGTGCCCAGCTTTGAAGGCAGCACCCCACCAGCAGCAGCGCAGAAGTAAGGGTGCCAGGGTATGGCATTGCCATCCTTACTTCTGCACTGCTGCCTTCAGAGCTAACCCTAAACTCTACAATTACAACACTGTGACATTTCAGATTTAAAAGCTGAAATCATGGAATCTGCTATTTTTAAAAGCCTATGACCATGAAATTGACCAAAATGTACCATGAATTTACTAGGGCCCTAATTATGGATCTTGTGTGTGTGTGGAGGCGTGGGCGTGGGGGGCGTTGTAAGATCTTTGGGGCAGAGACTGTCATTCGCTATATATTTGTATAGTGCCTAGCATAACGGGACATTGACCAGCTTGGCCTGTAGGCACTCCACAATATAAGTGTTAAAGAATCCTCTGGATGGTTTTCAGGAAGTATTAAAGCAATCACTTCCTTTGCCAACTGTTGTTCCCTCCTTCTTTGGTTACAGCTTTGGGAAAGTAATTTAAATGGGGGAAAAATAATAGACTAGCCAATTCTAATCTGAATGGGAGCCTTTGTCTTCTTTCCCCTCTGGGTTTATCCCCTTCTCTCCTATGCTGCTCATTGGTTGCTGGAAGAAGCTGCATTGCTGGAACACTAGGCCTCTCACAAGCTAACAGGGAAGAAATTGGGAATCCCTTCTTAAAATAGTGGCAGCAAACCAATGACTTGGGAAAACTTTAAAAGATATCAGATTAACACGTAAAATAGATTCCGAAGTTTTCTCAGGTGACATCAGTGATCAGGGTAGGCTGGGAAAGCTAAACAGCACTAATACCGCAGTTGTATCCCAAGTCTTAAAATGTTGGTATAACCGTTCTGTGCCTCAGTTTCCCCAGTTATTTAATAAAGAGAAAAATGCCTGCCTCCCAGGGGGTGTTAATGAGTCTAAATCATTAATGTTTAAAAACCTTTGCAATCCCCTCAGGGGAAAATGATATAGAATTGCAAAGTATCATTATTAAGGTAGTTTACATGTTGCTGTTTTCCTGGTCAAGGAAACATTTTTGCTATGTTACCAAAGGAGTTGTATTGCACGGGTGGATTCCTGATTATGCACAATACTCATTTTCCAACTAACTCATGGTATGCAATAACTTAACCTGTCCTGGGGCTATTGAGACACCATGTTCAATTAATCATATGTGGGAAGGGCCTCAAAAAGGCCAGTTGCCTTCAACCAAAGTAGTACTTTCTATTTTATTAGACTTATCACGCTCATTTTACATTCCTGGTTATAAAATGCATCTGAGTACCCCTATAAATTATCTAAAATCCAAATGTGAAACTTTCCCATAAATCCCTATGTCTTCATCATGGATCAGCTATTTAAAAGGGCTAAATTCTAATCTCTATGGGAGCCTCTGTCTTCTTTCCCCTCTCTCCTCTGCTGCTAATCTGGCTCATTCCTCTCGCCTGCTGATACACCTGATGCATTTCCCAGTATTCCAGGTGACTTCAGCCTCAGAACAACTGAAATACCCAAAAGCTTGTGAGTAAAGCAAGTGCTTCTTGCTACCTGACATCACGAGCAATTATACTTGAGATTGCATGGTGGTACAAGCTCTGTGATTAATAGACCAACACGCCAACCTGTCACAATATGCATAATGCTCATTATCCTGGAATCTAACTGACACTTCACAATGGATCATCTTGAAGGTACAAATCCTCATCATAGGGAGCCATAATATTAACCCACAGATTATGTTTGAATTCTTTTGGATTATGTACAAAACAGAGCATTTAGGGCAAGCTTTTCAAAAGTGTCTAGGGATTGGGTGTGCCTGAATTTTTTGATGTCCAACTTGGCACACCTTAAAAGGTCTAAACTTCACAAAGAGCTGTACAGCTGCTCTCTAAAAATCAGGCTCCTTTTCACAGATTCATATATTATTGTGAACATCTAGTCTGATTCTCCTGCCTTACACAGCCCTTGGAATGTCAACAAGTAATTCCTGCATTAAGCCCATATCTTGTGGTTGAGCTGAAGCATATTATTTTAAAAAGGCATTCAAAGTATCTAAAATTTGGCACCCAAAACCACAAACACCATAACTCACTAGTAACATCTGAAAATCTTGCCCTTAGGGCTTTGTTTATTAGTCAGCGCCCTGACAAACATCATATAAGCAGTGAGCCGCTTTCAAAGGTTTGTGGCACCTTCAACAGAATTGCGAGCTACATTTCCAGCCAGAAAGCAACTTCAGAGCTCCATAGGTAGTTGAGTTTGTCAGCTGATGCCTCAGGGATGTTTGTAAACCTTCAGGTGAATATTTTCCACACAGTTCAGGAGCCTATGTTCAGGCGCCTGGCTTGAAACTCCTTGGTGATCTGGCCATGGCCAGATCTGATAGTACAGATGGGCAAGATGTGAATACTACAACCACTTCCTGATAGGGCAATCCATTTCTGCTTCTTGACCCACACTTCTCCCTACTATCTTCTCTGTAGGTATCTTCCACATCTCCTTCCACTTGATTGTTCTTTACTGTGGGGGAGGATCTGCTTTTGTGGTTGTACTGCCAGACCTCAAGATAGCCACTACCACTAGTGTTGTTCAACTGAACCAGTCCAGCCGAAGCACTGCTCAGTTCCAGCTGCTGGTTGCTGTCTCACTGCCTGACTACTTAAGAGATGACTCATCGTGCAGAGAGGACAACGTGAAGCCAATGGAGATGCAGGTAGTTTCTGAAGGAACTGATGGATGCACCTTGTTTGGGATATTTAAAACTGGACTGGAAAAATGCTAGACAATTACTGTAAAGAACAATCCTGTACTGGCATGGAGATGGATTCATAGACTAAACAGTTTTTTTTTCATCTTAGCTCTATAATTGCACCACTCTAGTTCTCAGAGCTATCAGTAAGCTCCAGTGGAGACACCAAGGAGGTACTTGGCTGCACAAGTACGTAGATGGTTTTTGACAATGGGGCATTTTAAAAGCAGAAAGAGGAAGGAGAATGTTGTTGCTGCACATGCAGGGGATGAAAGAACTCCTGTCTGAACTATTGGCCAGCAGCGAAAATCCTGTGGGATCCATGCAGCCCTTAAATCACACAATTGCAGCACTCAGAATACCTAGGAGTAATTAAATAGGCTGGTCCAGCTAAGCTAATCTCCTTCTGATTCCCAAAGCAAACCTGCTCCCCAGTGAACACAGGAAGCAATATTGCAGGTGAAAGCCCCTATATTCTCATCACTGTAAAAAGGGAACATGGTCCTTAACGTGTAAGAAGAATATGTAACTTTGGGGTTCTCTAGTGCAAAAATATCATACTTCCAGATTTGTTTTGAAAGACCTGCCTTCAAAAATGCCACCAAGGTCCCTACTCCCTCAGAAACACTTAAACTGTTTAAATGTTAGAAATATTTTCTGTATGTAAAACAAAACTGTTAGGATTTCAAGTTTCTAAATATGTTGTATCAGTTGAAGGAGATTTCAGACAAAAAAACTGGGTTAGAGTAACAAATCCCACACACTCTTGTAGTTACAGGAATATGTTTTGTTCCATCAATATGTCCACTTTACATTATTCAGCACAAAGCTTTGTGAAATAAGAATCATGGGAATATCACAATATAAAGGAAAAAGGTACAAATAACAGCTTCATAAACTGAGCAATGTACATAAATAAATCATGTAGATGGGGGCAGTTTGCTTAGCTAGCAAGAAACAAAATATGGAAAATCTGCTTGTTAAACAATAACCACAGAGTGTGCTTTTATGATTTTTTTTTCACCACAGTAATTCATATTAGAGATAGAAGCAGTTGCATGTTAAATAAAATCATTCAGCATTGTTCTCCTCGCATTACAAAGAGCTGACTTATGTTGTTTTTAGATGCCTCCCATTAGAAAGTAAATATTCCTCTGATGTTATATGTTTCACAAAATTTAATAAAGATGAACTGTAAATAAAGTCACAGGGAGATTTCAGACAGTTTTATTAGCAGATTGTTGAAAAGAAAAAGAAAATTAAATACAATAACAGTAAACGTGGTTCTCACATTGAAACCAGGCTCAAATAACTAGGCTACCATAGAAAAATTTCCAATTCTTGCATTATGATGTAAAAACAGATTTTTGTACAGATTTTGTACAACAAAATTCGTAATAACCTTTTATCATTTTTAGAAAACTTTAAATATATAGATAAAAATAGACAATTTTCATAGGTCCTACATGAAGATGAGAATGTTCTGTTCCAAGGGCTTGCATAGAGCGCAAATGTGGTTATAATATAGAACAACTAGACATTAATATCTTTAAGATTTCAAAAGCATATAAACAATACCATGAGCACACTTTTTCTTCATAATCTATGCAAAAACAAACAAACAAAGAAAAAACAAAACAAACAAAGGAAAAAACCCAGCAACCCAAAACTTGTGTAACTGAAGAGGGGCAAAAGTTCAACTGACGGTAACATTTCATGAATTGTAATATTTACACCATTTTATTAAGCTCTTAATATCCATCTTATGAATTGTTTCCCCCTTAATCCTTAACATTTCCATTTATGTACCAAGCCAAATACTGAGGCATTCCTAAAGGTCTTGAAAGTATATACTGTAAAACTATTAAACCGACTTACAGGTGACTCTATGCAAGGAGCAGAGCAATGGCAGATGCTACTACATATTTCAGTTGTAGGCTTTAATTCTCTTTCAGATATGAATGATTCAAAAGCTTGCCACAAGTCCATCAAAATTTACAGCGGTTAACCCTTTAAAGACTGCATATGAAAAAACTGGTGTACAGAATCTCTGAAGTGTTCAAGCAACTATGAAAGAATCATGATTAAAAAACAATGTTACTATAAAGAATTTGGTAACAATATTTAATGAAAAATATTGCTCGATATTTCTTTTAAAAAACTACCATGATGTGAACTTGTATGTACAACTTTTCTATTGTTAGAAAAGGATTGTGGTGGACTAAATAAGGGTGTACCAGCATGGCAAGGAAAGACCTACAAACCATAGAAGCGCAGAGCTAGAGTTTACAAATCTTTAGATTTCTTTTTTAATTTGATAAAATGATATCCAATCAGAACTATTTTGTAAAGGAGAATTTTCTTAAGTTAGGTATCTTAGACATTTAAGATTCTGATATGTTTCCATGTAATAAATAACATTTTATATGCATACATTACAGATGAAGAAAGCATAATCACAAAACTTACAATAACAACGCTGATTCACAAAATCAGTCTTTAAAGGGGTAACAAAATTATGCAAAGCAAGGAACATAATGTAAGTATGTAATAAGCAGTGTGTTGCAGCTTACTTCCAGTTATCAGCACAAAGGTGAAAACACATTGTAGCTTTCATAAAGACAGTGAAAATAACACATAACCACCCTTCCCTAAGATAAAGTGAGGGAGGAACAATAGACTTCAACTGTATCACTCAGCTCTACGTGGTATTGGACTGATACATCAAGTGTTTGTTAGGTTTTCTTTTTAGCAACATTGACGTAATATGACATTAACATATAAAAATATTTCTGGTGTTTTGACTTGCTGCTCAGCCATAGTCCATTCTTAAAAGTGCTGTTTCAGGGCACTAACCAGGGATCAATATACAAATAAAAGTGGCTGATATGGAATTCTGATTCGTTACCAGATGCTTAAGATCTCATTCATTAATACTGTGACTCCAGGACAAATATTTACATGCCTGCATGCGTTAAAACTAGAAAGGCGTCTTTCTGACAAACAGGGTGACAAAACATTATCTAAAATGTTCATTTTCCTAAACGCTAGTATTCTACTGCATACATAATACCTTCCTGGTGTGGTTTGTGTTTATATACTGTACACGTGACCAACAGTTTGAATAAGAAGCAAAGTCTTTTTTTTTTCCATAAACCCCTGCCAGTTTAGAATGAGAAATTATTACTCGTTTTATTTATATTTTTATGTTTATTTTAGGAAAAGAGACTTTGTGAACAGTAAAACAGTTTTGCTTACATTCAGCATTTCCTTTCTCTTAGACAAAATTTCATTTTACTTCATGTGGTCTAGCATCCATGTGTTGGTCTCCTGGAAAGCATGTGGAAAAAAAGTCTTTAGAAGAAAACCCACGTTCACAGAGTTTGAAAATTGAATATAACAGGTTTTTTTCCTTTTACTTTTTTTGTCAGAATCCTCTTATGCCCCCATACAAGTTTACTTCTGAGCTGACTTGCTGGTTTAGGTATGACAAAACAGTCTATAAGTGTAGGTGGATACTGCTGGAAGGATTGTTTGATGTGCTCAAATACAGAATCATCAGAGGAGGACAGAGTTTTCATTCCATTAAAAAGGGAATGTTAGGCCTTGTTCTGACTGGTCTATAACTTTGTATACAAGGATGCAACAGCAAAGCTGCAGTTTTTGACTGTAAGAAGAGTGAAACTTGTACATTTACAAACATTCCCTAGGTCTCTAGCTTGAGCCACAGGTGATAACCAAAGGAGAACACTCTTGCAGAATGCTTTAAACTGTTGAAGAACATTGATACACAAAGTTAAGGAAGTTGCCTTGAAAACACTTTGTTTTTGTAGACCTTCCAAATAGTGAACATCTTACTGCACAGTTCTTTACCGTAGCACAAATTGCTTCAGCAGGAAAAATTCAGTACATGACTGTAGTTTTCAAATAAAGTCGTCCATCTAAAATAAGAAAACAAATATTTTCTTTAAATATTCATTCCTGTACTGTATCAACAGAAATAACAGTTACTTTGTAAAATGGATAATTGCAAAATGTCATATGCCATAAAGCTATTTTAAATGAGCAATGTTATCAAGAAATCTGTCGTCATCAAGAAATCTGTTGACCTGTCACTGATGTAACATCACCTATATGTATTCAAAATTAACTCCATCAACAATTACATACAGTTTGCAAGATTTGGACACTGCAACTGTTTCTAATACCTGTAAAGCTTTTATATATGCTGCATTCATATCAATGCACGGAGACTAGGAAAGTAGGTGGAGCTTCTGTGCATGTGATTTTACTGATATGCAAACTTAACTGAGTACTTTTGAACAGCAATTACTTCCTTCATGGTTACAGAGCAAAAATATTCCTGCATACAACCATGAGTACTACCATCACTAAAGGCATAGCTTATAACTTATGCTTTTAGCTGTGTTGTTAAATATACCATGTAATGTAACCATTGTGCACTTTTGTAGGTATTTATATAGAACCCAGTATAGGATATTTAATCAGTATCAGTGAGCCTTTTCTCCCATAAGTGAGATTAACTAAACAATTACTATGTTAAAGATGCAATCATATCTCTCAATTTTTACCATCCAACAGAGAAACAAACATTCAAGTGGTGGGGAGCCATGAGTAATAAATAATAAATTATTTGAGTCAGTAACACTAGAAATAAAAGCACTGAGATGCATAGAGCCTTCCGCCCAAAAGTATTGTAACCTGATTTATAAGTATAAAGCAAAACCTACTGCTTTATGAGTACAAGATGTAAAATATATAGCTCTATGTATATGTATATTTCAAGAGTATAAGCAAGCTCATGGGATCATTCTTACTATGCTGTTCTGTGTGATAAAAAGTGCAGGTTCTCTGGCTCTAAACTACTGAGATTAAGGCAAATTATGAAGCACATTAATCATGTACAATGGATAATTATAAAACACCCAGCCTAACCATGAACCTCAGTGCACTACACTACACATCTGTATTTGAAGACACATGCAGCACAGAAGTCCTTTTGGTTCAACCCCAATATACCAACAAGTATTTGCAATATGTTTTACAATTCAACCTGGTTAATCTGAATTAGTCTGTAAAGTTCACATTAGAAAAAATTTAAGTCAACAATTCAGTGCAATGCAGATTTACTGATAACCAATGAAGTATATTAAATATTCAGACAACTGCATAAAACACCTGAATCAGTGAAATGATCTGACGATAAATATTGAGAGAAGTTTACCTGAAGAGTAACTGAAATTATAATACAAATGTAACTGACCATATTCTGTCCTCAGCTACACCCCTTGCAACCCCAGTGTCAAGCTTCTGTGGTGGCTGCACAGGGAGAGAGGGCAGACTTAGCCTCTATTTCTTTCCTCTCCTGCAGTTGTTCTGCCCATTTTCCCTCTATTCTTAATTTCATTTTGCATCACTTTTCCTGATCTTTTCTCCCCTTCACTCTTCCCTGCCCCTCTCCTTTTCCCAGAAGTTCCAAGCCTTTTTCAGTGGAGTGTTCCACGCTCCCGTTACCTGCCACCGCTTAAACTCAGAACCATTTCAGTGTTCTCTTTGTTCTTTATGTTCTTTGTGCACTAGAGATAAAAAGGAATTGAGTATTGCCTCAACTTAAAGGCTTTTTATTCTTCGGTGATGCATGAAGTGCAACCAAAATGTTTGTGAGAATCCTGGGGGGAGAGGGGGGAAAGGGAGGAGAATGAACATGTAAAAACTAGCCTGGTAAATATCAAATCAGGAGGTATGATAAAACTTATCTAAAAATTGTAAAACTTAAAATGGCTGGACCCATTACAGGCTATAGTTACATATAATTCTCCCACACATATTTAATAAATAGTAACAATAGTACTAAAGCTGTCTCAATACCTCTGTAGGAGAATTACTCTATAGTATATGCCAGCATTTTTGATGTCTTGAATGTGTGCGTGTTAATGAGTGCTAGGCATAACTCCTGGGCCTAAACATTAAGATAACCTAAATTCAGTGACTTATATTTTATTTGACTATACTTGGTCTCTACATGCCTTTTAAATAAAATGTTTAGTTTCAAATATTCTCAATTCAAATATGTCTGTATGATGCTGAACTCTTCTAACCACTTATGTGAAAAAAGGATATGTAGACAACGGCAGTACATTTTAAAAAAATCATTGCTTAAGGAGCCAATCTGACACTGAAGTCGATGGGAGTTTTTTTTCAAATGGGAGCAAGAGAAGGCCTTGCATTTTCCATCTAAAGTCAACAAAAGACAATATTGATGAAGGTCTTAAAAAAAACTCTGTCTCCTTTACAAAGTCGAACACATATTTGTTTTTAAAACTTGTTACCTTCTACGATATGATGAATATATATGATAAAATATAAACCTCATTGTTCCTCAACCAGCCTAATGGTGGATTATAAAATATGCCATTAATTTTCTTTATATTGATAATGACCTTAGAATGCTATATGTGAACTAAGTATCTGATCTAATCCTAGAATGCTATATCTGAACTAAACATCTGATCTAATCCTATTGTTAGGTTCCTTATAATACATCTATATTCTCTCTTAACTTGTTTGTCTAATTCTCCTAACAGATGGACAAATGTAGCAAGCATTAAATATGTCAGTTGTAAAATATATGCCACCTGCCATGGTTACTGTAGATTAGGCACTTTGAAGATTAAGTCATACTTAGTAAGATTTTAACAGTTTCCAGAAATTGCAAAATATTTTATTTAATTTTTCAAAATTCACAACAGGAGGGATAAGATACAAAAATTAACAACTTTTTCTTTAGGACCCATTGCACCAAACTGCGCTTTGAAAAATATAATACCTACACCAAGGTACTCTTCTCAAGAGACTGCTCATGGTAAATTTACAAGCAGGAGAAAGAGAAGGAGTTTTTGTAGGTTTCATGTTCTTCTCCAAGTACACATGCTGTATATAGCAAATAACCTCATGAAACTACAAGTAAAGAACAAACAGGCATCTCGCTCTCCATCTCAGGGACGTGGTGACATCAAACCACAAGAGCAAATGTTGAGTAGTCTGTGAGTTGCTATAGCTTCATATTATGATCTAATATAGCTGATCTAATACAATACTTATATCCTTTTCTCCCCTTTCCTTTCCTCAGACTACCCCCTCCCATCCCATACAGGTCTCACCTCTCCTTTCTCCAAGCTCCTTTCTCTAAGCTCCAGCTGGAGTGACTGGAGCCTACCAATGCTGTTATCAAAGTGATCTTGGCCTTATGAAGGTGCTGACAAAATTCCTGTATGAATCCTACTGGAGTGTTATCATTAGTAGGGTTTCCTAACTCAGAGGAGCATACCACAAAACCCATAAAACCTGATAGCTAAACAGGGCCTTGCAGGTACATTATATTTTATTGAATTTAGTATATGTAGATTTTATATACAAGCACACAAAGATACTGTGTATACGATTAACAGACATATATTATATACCCCCCCAGACAAATATATACAAATAAACTCTACCGATTTTGCTTATTGCTCTGTGTACATGTCCATAAAGATGGAGTGTATTTTTGTCACAATGAATACTGTTTTCACAAGATACTGTACAACACTAGAGGTATGCATGTTATAAATACACAGTAATACTTCACACTCTTAATGTTAAATATAAAATACAAATTAGGAAAATTGTGATAACTTGCTGAGTAAAAGCACTTATAATTAGCAGAATTTAACTATGTTTTAATTGGTCTCCTGTAAATGTCAATGTTCAGCAAGATTGAGTTACTAAAAGGAGCTTGCACACTGTGAAAGTGCCCACACTCTTAACACTCATATTTGTTTTTGTTTGTGGGGGATGTGATGACAGGAGTTATAGTTCAGGCAAGGGAGTATTTAATTTTTTTTTAAATCCTTTTTAATTAAAGCTCATCTTGAGGTTTTTGAATAAACACATCCAAATAGTTACAAGGTCAGAAATGTCATGGACAAAAAACAGTTTTGACCTAACGCTTGAAAAGGGTAGGGTAGGGGGAGTGGGAGTTTGAAGCAATACATATGCCGTGAGATGCCTCCTCTTTGAGAAGTAAACTGGGGAACATTTACACTCACACTTGTGTAACGTGTGCAACATTTAGCTTCTGGCGGTCTAAACATTTTGCTGGATAAAATGCAACTGTATTACAGTATTATTTCTGTTAACATATGCAACTGTAAAAGTGTAAAATCTATATGACATTTCAAGTGTAGCTTTAGGTTGCAATCTAAATAAATAAAATAATCCTGCAGTTAAATCAATGTCAAGTAGAATGTAGTGTGCAAAAGAGGATGAACCACTCTTGGAATGAGCCACTGAGGCTGTTTGAGATCAGAATTTATTGTGTGTTACTAGGTTACCAAAAGAAACTACACCATTTGCTCAAGAAATTCCCAGAAAAAGCACAGGAACAAATCTGCACAGACACACCCCTAGAAGCCCAACCAGGGGTATTCTATCTGCAACCCAAGATCCATAAACCTGGAAATCCTGGACGCCCCATCATCTCAGGCATTGGCATCTTGACAGCAAGATTGTCTGGCTATGTAGACTCTCTCCTCAGGCCCTATGCTACCAGAACTCCTAGCTATCGTCGAGACACCACTGACTTCCTAAGGAAACTACAATCCATTGGTGATCTTCCAGAAAACACAATCCTGGCCACTATGGATGTAGAAGCCCTCTATACCAACATTCCACACAAAGATGGACTACAAGCCATCAGGAACAGTATCCCCGATAATGTCACAGCAAACCTGGTGGCTGAACTTTGAGACTTTGTTTCACATTTGGGGACAATGTATACCTTCAAGTCAGTGGCACTACTATGGGTACCCGCATGGCCCCACAGTATGCTAACATTTTTATGGCTAACTTAGAACAACGCTTCCTCAGCTCTCGTCCCTTA